GACACTTAGGTTGATTTCATACCTTGGCTATTGTGAATTATGCTACAATGAACATGGGAGTGCAGATATCTCTTCAACATACTGATTTCATATCCTGTGAGTATATACTCAGCGGTGAGATTGCTGGATCATATAGTAGTTCTATTTTTAATATTTCAGGGAACCTCCTTACTGTTGTCCATAGTGGCTATACTAATTTACATTCCCACCAACAGTGTACAAGGGTTCCCTTTTCTCCACATTCTCACTAACACTTATTATCTTTTGTCTTTCTGATAATAGCCATTCTAACCGATGTGAGATAATATCTCATTGTGGTTTTAATTTGAATTTCCCTGATGATTAGTGACATTGAACATTTTTTATATACTTTTTGGCCATTTGTGTGTCTTCTTTTGAGAAATGTCTGTTCAGTTCCTTTGCCCATTTAAAAAATTCAGTTAACTGTTTTCTTGCTATTGACTTGAGTTCCTTATCTATTTTGGATATTACCCCTTATCAGATGTATGTTTTGCCGATATAGCCTCCTATTCCATAGGTTGTCTTCTACTGAGGTATTTTATATAAGAAATTTTATGATCACGTTTGCTGTTATGGGTGAAATGGATTAGAGAGAATGGGTGGGGCGAGGAAATGCCTTGGAGCAGAGAGCCAGTTAGAAGGCTGTTATGATAATCTCTACAAAAGTGGGGAGATCTTGGATTAAGAGTTATGACAGTGTGGTTGGTAAATGAAATAAACATATATTAAGAAAGGAGAACTGAGTAGACGTTCAGATCAATCAGATGTGGGGAATGAAGGACAGACAGGAGCTGATTGAAGTGGATATGTGAGCTGATTCAGAATGAAGCAGGCTCTATTCAACCACCAGTGAAATAGGGACAAAGTACATTGCTAAAGCTTAGGCAGGTTGTCAGGGCTCTAGCCAAGTGATTTGAGATTCAGGGAAGGGTTTTAGTCCTTGAAAAAAAAAAAAAAACAACTTGATTTTTGTTTTGGGTTGAATTGTGCCTCCCCAAATTCCTACATTGAAGTCCTCACCTCCAGTACATCAAAACATGACTGTATTTGGAGATAGGGTCTTTAAAGAGATAGTTTAGTCAAAATGACGTCATTAAGGTGTTCATTAGGGTGGACCTGATCCAATATGGCTGGTGTCCTTACAGGAAGACATTAGGACACATAGACACACGGAGGGAAGACCATATGAAGACATAGGGAGAAGAGGGCCATCTGCAAGCCAAGAAGAGATGCTTCGGAAGAAAACAACCCTGTTGACACCTTGATCTCAGACTTCTAGCCTTCAACTGTGAGAAAATAAATTTCTCTTGTTTAAGCTTCCTGGGCTGTGATACTTTGTTGTGGTAGCCCTAGCAAATAATACAAGTGTCACTAATACAAATGTCAACCCGGACATAAGTCCATTCAAATCAGAGAGGGCACAGGCCATGAGGACTGGGTGCTAAGTCACGCAGCTCAGAAAGCAGGCAGGGCCACCAAGGACCCTTGATTAGTGCTCTTACAGTCAAGAACTAGTTCTAAACTCCATCCACGGGTAGTGATGAGGCTTCTAATGTTATTTCAAATTTGGTTCTCATTGACTCAAAGATAGAGCAGAGAAAAGCTATACATGGAAAGTCTTTAATTCTGATGCTGGGCAGAGTCAGAAGCAAGCATGAGCTGACTGACCATTTCAATTTCAAAAATAACTAACTGTATAGCAACATACAGCAAAAAGGAATGCTAGATCTAGTCGGAATTGACTTGATAAACAATTAAGATATTTGTTCCTACTTGCACATTCCTTAGATATTAGCTTAAGAAAAAAATATATAGACACACATCTGTGTGTGTGTGTGTGTGTGTGTGTGTGTGTGTATGTGTGTGTGTGTTTAATGTCCAGTCTACATACTAAATACTTTACCTTCATATGCTCTACCATGGTTCAACTGTTGTTATTGCTCTCCTGGGTTACTGCAACTTCCTCCTAATTGGTCTTTCTGTGTCAGTAGGCCCCTCCCCAGTTTCCCCTCCGCAACGAGGATCATTTTAGGCATGAATAGGCACATTGCCATGATTTTCTCATTTGTCTGTATACATTTGTCAAAGAAAGGGATCATCTAGAGATCTTGATTCCTTGTCCTAGTCTCCTAAGTCCAATTATGAAATAGAGATTCTTCCTTTGCAATCATTCTCACATCCTTTCTTTCCTTTTACATTTCTACATATCCTAATTCAGGCTCTTGTTAGATCATGCCTGAACTACTGCAATATCCTCCTTACTTGTCTGCTTACCTCTTCGCTCTTTCTTTGCTACCTAAATTCATTCATTCATTCAACCTAAATTATAAAAAATTTATAAAACACCTTTAGAATATTTTGGCTACATGCTATTTTTCTATGTTACCCTTCAATAGCTCCTGACTGCTTATAATAACAAACTCAAACACCCCTCAGGCTAATGGTTAAAGCTGTGGGAATCTGGCCTCTTTCAGCGCAACCTCACTTATAACTGCCCTAACTTCCCAAATCCTCAAACACATTGCCACCTACCAGTCCCCCTACATGCCTGCCGCACAGCCCTGTGCTTCCCATCTCTGTGTTTTCGCTCATATGGTTCCACCCCTTAGCCTCCGCCTCTTTTATGTTCCGCCTGTCCTTCAAGAACAGCTCAAATCCCTGATGCTTTTGTTCTCTTTTTTTCTCCCAGCATGACATGCCTTCTTCTCTGCCTGTCCATGCTACCCGTTTCTCAAGGCCAAGCATAATTTCTAACTTATCTCTGAAGTATTCCTAACCACCATGGCATTCAATCCTTTGAGAAAGGCTACTGTGGGGCCACTAGGTGCCAGATGCTGTCTGAGCCCTAGGGATCATGGTTGGATAATACACAGTTCTTCATTTCCAGGATGATGTGTTCTCCCTTCTCTTTAAGCTTCTATTGCAGTTACTACCCAAAGATTTGTATATTAATAATGTGATACCTCAGGAAATTTCTTCATTTTTCAATTGCCAATTAAATTTCTATGATTTAACTTTTTAAAAAATGACTTATCTTCTCTAGTTAGGTTGTAAAGACTCTGTTTTCCTCAAAAGTATCTAGTTTAATATGGGAGTGGAGAGAGATACACTATGATGTATTAGTCTCTTCTTGCTAGTTTTTCTCATCGTTCCTCTAAATTGGTCTAGCAGTCCATTTTATGGGCCACAGAAAACCCATGATTTTACAGATATTATTGCTTTAGCATAAGGCCAAAATAGTGCCTATTTAAGTTTTTTTTTTTAACTGAGTTGGCTTAAATACAAAATATTAAATAGTAATATTTCAAGTGATAGTTATGGGAAAAACTGTAGAAGTGGTCCTTCAAATGTGTTATATGATAATACAATTATTCCCTAGAACAACCTTGCAAATTAGAAACTAAAGTTCAGTAACACGTTGGAACTTATTCAAGTCACAAAGCTAATAGGTTGTGCTACAAGATTCAAGTGAAGGTCTCTCTGACTGAAGCTCTCCACACTTTCCCCCTTCACCATGATACTCTCTTGTATATAGACAGATTTAGTTTAATTACTTGAATATGGTTCTCTGACCTGTGTTTTTACACCGCACCTCATCTTCTCAAAAGATTTGCTTCAGTTTTCTCAATTAAATCCTTCACCTCCAGAAAAATAAAAAGTGCACCAGAGTGAATTTGGTGTGTTTCTAAGCACATTTATAAAACATACAGGGAAAAGGAGTCGATTTCCTGGCTGGCTGAGTGAAACGTTAATTCTGCACCTTGGCACCTCAACCTACAGCTGTAATAAGGGCCGTTATGCCCAAATAGGCCCTTAAACGGAAGACCTGCTGAGCAGAGACCCACTTTCCCAGCCCTGCTCAACTGCCTCAGCTTTTCTGCCAACTGACCAGGCGGAAGCAGCAGCAGGGGAGGAGGGATTGCAGGTAGGTGGGGAGGGGATCATTTTGAAAGCCCTAAATCCCTCGCAGGGAAGAAGCAGCTGCTCCTTGTTTTTCTAAACATCTGTCCCAAGCCGCACCTCACCCTTTGGAGGCTGGAGCCAGTTAAAGGTGGATTTGACAAAGAAGCACTTCTGAAGACTGGTTTATGAGTTCAGATGACCCCAAGTGCCACCCAGAAAGTTTCTTTCATTGGCAAGAGAGCAGTTAGGGGTCTTAAGCCGCATGGCTATTACCTTCCTTCATTTTTCTCACAAAACATACAGCTTTAATTGACGGAGGCAGGATTTGTAACATCACCCAACTCGGACTGTACGTCCTGGGATATTATTTTACAAAACGGAGGTACAGCTAGCACCCATATTTTTATTTTTACCCCCAGGAGAGCCACGAGCTTCTGAATTGGAAGAGAAATTATACTGCACACACTGTACCATCTTTACCGTAGTACAAGCTGTGCACATCTCGCGCGTGTGGCGTTTATCACATTTAACAGCGTGTTGCTTTTATCTGACTCCTCTGCCAACACTGCTCCTTGAATATATGGGGATCTTATTTTTATTGTTATTTTTTCCCCTAGTATTCAGAGTCGTAGCTGGAACCTGGAAGGCGTGAAATAGACTTTTGTAAATGAATGAACATTAATTAAGAAAAAATAAAGGAACGAGATGATTCATTTGGTTTGGTATGGGGGCGGGGCTCGGACTGCGATCTGGTCGCCAAGGGAGGCGCAGTCCAAAGTCCTACGCGTCCGACTCCTGTCAACACAGCGCTGCCGGGGCTCCGCAACCCGGGACTCACGCCTTCTAGAGCGAGGGGGCGCGCGTCTGGAGATGGTCCCGCCCCCAGACGCGCGCAGCCACGCCCCATTCCCCTGGTCATTCGCTCTGCGAAGTCTGTTCCACCGCCGAGTTGAGGGTTTGGGGGCGGGGCCGGGAGGGCGCAAGCGCAATGGGAGGCGGAAGTAGGAAGTAGGGAAGGGAGAGGGAAAGGGACCTGGCCGGGCTGCGCGAAGGGTACCGCGCTCCTCCTCCTCCTACCGCGGGAGGCTTCCAGAGGCCGTACCTAAAGCCTAGCCCAGGCTCCTCCCCTCCCCGCCCCCTATCCCAGAGCCGACACCGGCGGCCTTGTTCTCCGCCCGCTGAGATGGCACTCGACCCCGCAGGTATGGGGGCGGGAAACGGGGTTCTCTGAAGGGTCTTGACCCGGGTCTCGCTCCGCGAGCCGTGCGGGCTGGAGGCCGACCTGGGAAAGGTGCCGAGCTCTTGAGGTTCACCGCTTCCACAACTGTCCTGCGCCTGGCGGGCTCCTTCTTTCGGTCCTAGGTCATCACCTGCTCATTTTTGGGGGGTTATGGTTAGGTGAGGTTCGATTTGTTGTCTAAACTGTCGTCCATTTGTGACTTAAAAGTATTTTCCTCTTTAACGCGACTAGTCTCTTCGTTATTCTCTTGCCTCTTTGGGGCAGACTCCTTTAAACAATATCTCGTGTGGACACTCTTGCCCCAGAAGCATTTGCGTATGCGTGCCGGTCACAATTTTACATTTCTTTTTGGAAGTTCAAAGACCCCAAGTTCATCCTGAAGCCCAACTTAAAAATAGCAGTTCAAAAGATCCATCACTGTGGCAAGAAATTAGTTTCTTTGGAAAGGATCTCCAAAGTCTTGAAAGTAATTTTAACTTTCATGCTTCCACTCACTTCCGTTTGAAGCAATATGTTATTCCCCTGGAATTCCTGTCCTTACAGAAGCTCACCTGTGTTATCTTTGCTTTAGGCTGTTTATACGAAGGTATAGATAGAGAACTTCATGTTTAGATGGAATGGTAATTAATCCAATACATTTATGGATATGAAAATTAAAGGCATTGGGGAGGTGAAATGGTTTCAAACCTTTGGAGATTCAGAATTGAAAAAGACATTTTCGAGGCCCTTAAGGAGCATGAAAAATATGTGTAACACACAAATAATATATTAGTTGAACACTTTATCAAGCTAAATATTCTCAGTTATCCAACAATAGTATGTTGTATTGTAGGTTCTTTTATCTCCATTTTACAGATTAGGAAATTGAGGCTCAGAGAGGTTAAGTTACTAGTCCAAGCAAGTAGTGGTAAAATCAGGGAGTACTCTAGTTTGAAGCATAAAGGAATTCTTGAACTCATAACGATCATATCAATTTTGGGCTAGATAATTGGATTAGACTTTCTGAAGCAGTTAGCAATTGATCTGGGCTTTAAAGGATAGAATTTCCAGGTGTTGAAGTTGGAGACGAGGCAGCAGCCATGAGCAGAGGTGTAGGTAATAAAGTGTAGTGTGTGATGTTTAGTTACAGGGTGAATACCCTGATTTGGTTCATGGGGTTAGAAGGGATGTAAATGGGGGTTGGATAAGTTAAGGTTCAGATTGAGGCCCATATAATTCTAGTATTTCTAAACTGAAAGTGACTTTCAAAGTAACTCATACAAATTAGGAAACTGAGTAAAGACTTCCATATGTCTGTATTTGTGTTAGACAAGGAAATTTAGAAAAAAAAGAAATTCTTACTTGCTGTCTTCACTTTCTAATCTTCCAGTTACTCTTAACCCACTTTAATCTTGTAGTGTACCCAAGAACACACAGCTAATTGATGGTAGAGGCAAGTCTGGATAGAACCCAGGTAATTTAATTTCCAGTCGAGCCCTGTAGACCATGCCACCATTTGAGTATTTATTGACTAAACAAATACTTGACGTGCCCAGTATATACCATGTGTTGTTCTAGGTCCGAGGCCCTAGTATACGGGACAAATAAGATTCTTGCTCCCAGTAGAGCTTATATTCTAGCAGTAGAAGAAAGAAAATGAACACCCCTCCCTCCACCATATACACACTTTTACAGACTGTAAGAAACATTGTGAAGAAAATATTTGCTTTCTACACATCCGATAAAGGGCTGATAACAAGAATCTATATAGAACTTAAGAAAATCAACAAGAAAAAAATCAAACAACCCCATCAATAAATGGGCAAAGGACATGAACAGAAACTTTTCAAAGGAAGACAGACTAATGGCCAGCAAACATATAAAAAAGTGCTAAACTGTTTTCCTTTTTTTAATGTAGGGGCAATAACTGTGTAGGTTTATTGGCTATAATTATGTTAAGTATTTTCTCTTACAATTTGAATGCAGAGAGAAAAGGCTGAAGAGGATCCAAAACACCCAGGAAAAGTGGCTGTGAGGAGAGATTAAGCTATTAAAAAATACTGATACCTGGGTTGCACTCACAGATATTCAGATTTAATTTGTCTGGAATAGGGCCCAAGTCTCCAACATTTAAAAATATTCCAGAGGTAGTCTAATGTGCACACAGAATAGAGGAGAACCACTGTTTTAAACTCTCATAGTTTTATTGACTTGTCCTTTAGTTTTGTTTTTTTGTTAGTCTAATCTTCTTCCTATTCCTAGAGGAAATTCTCCCTACATCTTTTAGTTATAAATGGGACCTTTGATCTCAATAGTAATGATTCAGAAATACACAGTATAACTTACACAATCTTATTCCAAGTTATAGCTTCTTTACCAGTTAATAACCTTTTCTACAAGGATTGTACGTTTTAAAAATCTGGTCAAATTTAGGTGATTAAAAAATGTAAAAGGTTGTTTATTTCTAATGTAGAACCCATGATTACCTATAGAAACAATGTTAAAAGTGATGCTTATGAAAATATAATTTTCAAAAAGGTAAAATTATCACTCATGCAAATACAAAGTGAGTATATGTTGAAGATTTTCTTCAACTTATTAATCAGTGAGAGACCCAGTAAGATGTAAAAATAAGTACAAAAAGCATTTGAGAAGCTAGATACATTGTCAGTTTCATAGATTGCTGCCTTAGATAAAAACTGGTTAATTTACAACAGGGCCATAAGATGTAATCTTTGAAGTTATATTTCCAATCTCCGAAATCATTTCTGTCTCTGCTTGACAAGATTCTAGAAGTTAACCTCTGTCCCTAACAAGTCGTAAAATAGCCCAATAATCAAAAATACTGAAAGAACACTCAATTATGCCTTTACCTATATGCCATGTGCCAGAGAAGTTTTGGGACATGATTATATTAACAGCCCTCAGGAACCTGGTCTGGATAATTTTGATTTTTTACTTTCTCTACTAACTAGAAGTGATTCCTTTCTCCCTCCTTTTTCTTCTACTTTTCCCTCATTTTAGCAGGATAGGAGGTTTTTCTTCCATCTGTCAGTGAGCATGGGTTCATTCTCTACTTTTACACAGTGGGGCAGTGATAGCCTAAAGGAAGTTTCTGTAATCAAGTTTGTGTGTATATGTATCTGGGTGTCCCTCCTTTGCCGTTCTGTTCTAGGAATCTGATAAGGGAAGGAAAATGCGGCAGGGATAGGGCTCGGGATAGAAAGTGGGATCAGAATTTCATGACATTTCATTAAGATGTATGTGTCTTGAGAGGATGTCATTATGGCTACTCTTGGAGTATTTGGGATACAGGGGTTCTTTTAGTGGTTCCTATGTGGATGTAGGTAGATTAGCTTTAGGGGTACTAGCATTTATATATACTGGAAAATTTTTCTTTTTAAGTTAAACATATAAACAGATTTGAAGGATCTTTTTTTCTGAGCGTTATGTGATTAAAAGGTCATGGAGCTGATTCGAAAATTTTTGAATTTATTATTGCCTCTATATCTCTAGACTCAGAGTGTCTTCTTAGACATAAATTATTTTGGTAGTTCAGAACTTAAAAAAAATTTTTGACATCCACATTTTCTGTGTTTCTAAATTAAAAGTGTATTTGCCATAGAAAATGCATTGGTTTTGTCTCACTAGATTAGTTTAACAACCTTCTGATGGGTTGCTCTGTGAAATATGAAACACTGACTTAAACAAAGAACTTAAGAAAAGAGAATTAGATCAAAGGGGAGTGTGTGCCATGGCAGCAGAGGGATTTCAGTTGTGAATCATGAAATGTCCTATAAACCACTTCAGGGAATTTGAATTTTATACTAAGAACAATGGAAAGACACCACAAGTTTTTAGGTAAGGGAGTGACAAATAGAACTTTCCTCATTCTTTGTTGATTTGACTTTTGTTTAGATTGATTGAGGGTAACCTCTATCCCAGCTGAATATTGCACACATGGTGATGTGCCTTTTTTAGGGTATCGCATCTGGAGGCACGTGATCTCTGTCTGTCCCTCATAGGCGATGTTAATTTTGATCACCAACTCAATGTTTTTCCTCATTTCTTTGCTGTTTTTTTCTTTTGCAATTAATAAGTAATCTGTTAGAAGGCCATTTGCGACCATGTAAATATCTGTTCATCAAATATTCCCCTTTGATTTAGCATGCACTGATGATTTGTCTGATTCAGTCTTTCCCATGATGGTTGTGAAATGATGATTTTTTTACCTCCAGCACTTCTTCCTCATTTACTAGATGGTTCTTGACATTTTTGTGGTAAGCAAAAGACTGCTTTGTTTCCTATTCATTTATTTATGGATTTATTATTGATAAGGACTCATGAATTCCTATTTTTTCAATGGTTTATACTTTGTTAATGTACATAATTAATATTTGTGCTCAAATTTTCCCAGATTTGGCCAGTGAGAGTTTCTCCAAGCTAGCTTCTGGATCCTTGTGATATGCTGTCATCTTTTTTTTTTTCTTTTTTTTTTTGAGCATATCCTTTTTTTCATCACACAAGATAGCACTGGCTCATCTTGTACCTACCCTGGCTGATCCATAGAATTAGTTGTTTCTCTGATAAGCCCTGGTTCCTTTCATTTGGGCACAGTATTAGAGAATAAGATCTGGTCACTAGGTCTGGGTACCACTTGGGTGTTTTATATGTAAATGATTTATTAATAGACTACCCTTAGGAAAAAAACATGTGAGAGAATAAGGGAAATAGGGTAGGGAAAAGGAAGAAGCTGAGTGAGGATGTGGTTTTAGGGAAGGGTAGTCTTCACCTAATCAGCCCTGGTGTACCACAAAGTACAGTTTATTCTGCCTTGGAGGCAAGGGAGCTGACCTTTTGTGCCATCTATCAGTCATTGGTTACTGCAGGAGTTGGGAGCATGGATCAGCATGGAAAACTGCAAAGGACTACCATGCCAAAGGGCAATCCTGAGAAGGTTGTGGGTGTGAATGCTCCAGTGCT